CAAAAGTTACTTGGAATGAATCAGGTCAACTTCATGGAGTTGCAACTTGGTGTAGGCTTCAGGAAAGCCTGTCTTTCACTAACTCCAGGAACACAGACCCTAGAATTCTCAAGTATTCTCGCCAGGGACTACAGGCTTCGTGTTGGTACCATTCTGCCGGGGATCTCCGTTACTGAAAATACGCACACTTATTCTTCCATATCTTCCAACACATCGTGAATCTTCAGCTCCCCTGTCACAAATCCATCTGCTTGAACTAAATCTGTCAAGAGAGGCAATCACAAATAGCAAATACAAGTATGTCGGCACAAGGGGCTATGCTGTGGGAATCTGATTCTTCTCCAGTGGTACGGTTGTGTCTGAGGTGAACAACCCACACCCAGTGAGCAGGAGATGCACTGACTTCCTCATCCTGCTTCATCCCAGATACCAGAAACCCCACGGCACGAGTACTCCCAATATCCTGGGTATCCCACTGATGGCAGCAGCTGGCACCAGGCAAAGTTTTTGAAAGCAGGAGCAGGCAGTGGGTGATGAGTTAGTGGACAAGCTGCTTTTTAGCCTGTTACCGGTTACCAGCTCGTTGCATCCAGAATTAGAGGAAGCTAGAATTACATATGTAGCAACAGACTCTGCTAATACTGACAGGTTTGGATGTAGCAGAAGGCACAGAGTAGTCACAAGGCCATCTCCCCCTGCCAGATTTCGGAGACTGCCTCCGAGAGAGAGATCACAGCACCTAAAAATGAAGCTGTTTTGAGTTTTTAACATGGTGGCAGGGGGAAGCATTTTGTTAGCCTTGTTCTCAGGAAAGGCTCAACTGCTTTGACTGATCAGAGGGCTGTAGCACCTCTGCTATGGGGACAGGCTGAGAGTTGGGCTTGTTCAGCCTGGAAAAGAGAAGGCTCCGGGGAGACCTTATAGCACCTTCCAGTACCTGAAGGGGCCTACAGGGAAGCTGGGGGGGACTTTTTACAAGGGCCTGTAGTGACAGGACAAGGTTAATGGTTTTAAATTGAAAGAGGGTAAATCTAGGTTAGGTATCAGGAAGAAATTCTTCCTGGAGAGGGTGGTGAGGCACTGGAACAGGTTGCCCAGAGAAGCTGTGGATGCCCCATCCCTGGATGTCTTCAAGGCCAGGCTGGATGAGGCTTTCAGCAACCTGGTCTAGTGGAAGGTGTCCCTGCCCATGGCAGGGGGGTTGGAACTAGATGGTCTTTAAGGTCCCTTCCAACACAAACTGTTCTGTGACTCCATGATGACTGAAATACAGCTCTTGGCCTAAGATAAACAACGGCCATACAAAGTATCTGCTCACACGGCTACAGCTGAGAAAAAGGTCCCAAGCCTGGCCCGTCTAGAAAAGATTATTGCAGCTCTGGTCATAGGTGTGCTCTGGTAGACGGGGAGAGAAATTATCTTCTGCTGTTTGAACTACACTTGATTTTCTCCTGAGGTGCATTAAGTTACAATTAACCTACTTCAAATAGAACAACTTTATTCTTAGAAACATCATCCAAACAGTAGGTAGGGAGAAGGAAACCCGGGATTTCAGAGGCAAACCGCTAAAGCACACGGGTAAGCCACCGCACCGTTTGTGGATTGTGATCGGTAACTGTAACTGAGCTACTGACTGGAACCGCGGTAGGTGAACGTCACGTCCAATTTACCACTGCTCACTACTGACAGCATATAGTCCAGCACGTTTAAGATGTGATTATTAATGTTTGTAACATCTACCCTGTGGGCAGGTTCCACCCGGGTATGTAGAAAAAAATAATTAATACACTAAAAAACACCCACAACTGAGAAGCCCTTAACTGGGACTGATCTCTGAACTTCTGCAACGGGACACCGTTAACATCGGAGTCGCTGTTCTACTGCGCACCCACCGCAGCCTTTTGCCAGCTACCCGACTGCCTGCAGATGACTTCAGCTGTAAAACCTCGGACAATTAGTGCAACAGAATTAATCAGTCGAGCTCCGTGAGGAAAGAACACCCTGAAACGGTGACTCCTATGAAATCTGAGGGTCTCGAATACCCCAAAACATGAAATAAGGAGCCTGATTTGAGTTTAAAGAAAGGCAATTTTTTCAGATTCAAGCAATACACAAAAACGATGGGGCAGCTCCCATCCTGGATTGTATCAAGTGACCAGGAAAGCCCAGAGATGGGTCCCTGTGTGTGCAGAGAGAGAGGGAGAGAAGGGGGTGAAAAACACTGACAGAAGTTTAGAAAAAATCCCACAAATACCCAAGTATTTTTCCTTCCCCAACTTCCTTTTACCAGATAGTTTCTACAGGGAAGACCTTTGCAGACAATTAACCTCCAGGATGATTTACCAAGCCATAAAACATTACCTGTGGTCACCTCTGCCACAAATTTGTGCCTACCTGGCAGCGTTTCCCAGGAAGGCAGAAGACTGCAGTTGGTCTGAGAACCCCCACCAAACCAAAATGGAACGCTTTCTGTGGAAGCATGTTAGAGATGGAGAGGTCACAGTTCCTGCAATAAAACCATCTCGAGATCCGCCGCCTTTAGCTATTTCCATATGAAGTGTCATTCTCAACACGGGATGAAGCCAAATCAGTGTAATTGCCCAAGCAGGAAAACATTAACTCCTTTCCCGGTATACACTCCCTAAGTCATGAGGGACCGATTGATTTTATCCACCTCAGGACACGCCTTCCTTTCTGCCTGCCCATACTCACGGACTGAAAACACCGAATGGGCACAAAGACGTTCCTGGTACTTACTTACACCGGGAACTTGAGGGTGATGCGTGAAGGCACCACGCTAAACCACGTGGGAAAAGACAGCAAGGTGCCTCAGGCCGCCAGGTGACCGGCCCAGCCTTTAAAAGCTGTAGGCACTGCTGAGGGGCACCGCAAGATGGCCGACACCTCAAACCCGCAGGTTCTGACAGTCAAAGCCGCACACAGAAACTAACTCTATGTTGAAATATACAGTTTATTTTCTGAAAGCCAAGCAATACCATCTGTCAGTAGGGAAGTGGTAAGTGTCAGGCAGGAAAACTGTACATTTTCACTCTGGGCTGCGGGATCCAAACAGCTGGAGCAACATCGTGGACATCTTTCACTACACAGAGAGAGCTAGAAGGGAGAACAACGCCAGGTGAAGGAAGAGCCATCCCCAGGATGCCAAAGGCAAAACGTTAGCACCAGATTTTTTCAAAAAGCAATGGTGTAGCTATTTACAGATTTACATATAATGTGGGGGGGCGGGGCCCACCTTCAGGTTCCCAGGTTTTCAGCACAGTTTTAAAGAAGGGGAGAATGGCATCTACGCAACTGTTCTGTGAAGAGGGTAAAATATATATATATAGCATTCACAATATCGCTACCTTTTATCAGAAAGGGCTAAATCAAAGTACTGTATACAAACACACTGTCATTATATTATTATTCGCATTTCACATACACATTTCAGAGCAACCACAACACGTAAAATTTTTAAAATGCCACGGATAAAACATCGCACGCTTTTCTCCAAGCTAAAAGACAAGCATAATTTATTTGGGAATTGTTTAGTTTTGGGTTTGTTACGGTTAAGGGACGAGTTTGAGGACAACGGGATCGCTTGTCCCAGGAACATAGCAGCAAATACCTGTGAGAGACCTGCCAGAGACTAGGTTTCTGACCTGGGAGGGAGAGACGAGGCTCAGCTGTAGGTCTTGTGAAATGGTCCCTCCACCCGACCTCAGCCGATGCGCACCGGCATCAGTTCACTAGAGATTTGGTCCAGGTATGCAAAGTAGTGCACCAAAAAGGGGGGTACAGCAGTCCTTTTAATGTTTGCATCTGTCTGTAAAGGAACTGGTTCCAGAAGATTTCTGCTCCCCAGTTCCCCAGCTGGCAGGGCATTGGTTGATCAGCACCTCTCCGGTTCTCTCACCGCAAGAGAGAGGATACAGGTGAGGACAGAAAACCCTTTGCGAACACCGCCACCCCAGGAACAGTGGGAAGAATTGTTTCCTGTCTCTTTCCAACACCTAACTATGTGTGTTTTCAGCCCGCTTAGCTACAGACTGGCATTCACATCCACCTCAAAAGTGGCTTCTTCTTGGGCAACCTGTTTGTCTACGGAGAGACAAATGGTTTTCGGACTAGGATGTCAATGGCAAACACACCAAGTCAGCCAAGACTTTCCCTTGCCCACAAACCTTTTAACGTAGAACTTGACATTTATTTAGACACTACAGGATTTCTCTGTAGGTATCTGAGCGAGTCAGCATAACCTTTTGCTGCTCTAAAAGACGAGTGAGCACCTCTTATCCGAGCTGCTGGAAATCCTCTGTAGCAAGTCCATGGCAGCATTACTAGAACACAACCAGCAACCTGGCACCGCGAACTCGCATCCTCTTGCTTGCCACTGTGCAATGGCAAAAACAAACCAACAAACCCCACTTACGTTCACAGTTACCAAGCAGTTTCTCCGCGTAACGCACAGTATTCACATGGCAGAAGTTGTTTGTATTGCGTTTGGTGGTCTGAGAAAGGGGGAAGAGCGAAGAGTCTTACGTAGATCAACGGCGGTGTAACTTCACTGTCTACGTAAAACCATCACAACGTTGAGCAATCAGAAGAACTATCAAATTGGTGTCCTTAGCCTACATTTATTTTCATAAGGTGTGGCGGTTTTGGGGGAGGAAGAATAAAAACATGCATAAAAAGCACAAGAAAGAGCAAATGAGCTTTCTAAATAATTTAGACGAGAAATGTTTTGAACAAGATCAGGACAGTACTTCCAGCCAGTTTCTTAAATCAAGTACAGCCTGGTAAAGAAAATCGCTTGCGCTGCAGTACGATGGTGTACAACTACGTCTTGCAAAATAACTTTATAAAATATCGTCAGCAAGGTAGCTGCTGGGCGAGTCGCAGGCTGGTTTAAGAAGCGTTGAGCTGAGACTGACTGTAGAGTTATCTCCTGCGAGGGGAAAGTGCCATCCTATATACAAAACTACAAAAAAGTGTCTGATGCCACAGGATCAGAGTGACACTACATTTCAGCAATCTGAATATATTAGCTATAAGATGCACGCTCCCCCTATTTAATGTGTCTTTAAAAAAATAAAAAGCCACTAAATTTAGAGCTTCTAAATTTGTGTGCATTCATAAATTGCTGTTGGGGTTTCCCAGCAGTCTGTACAGCATCTGAACACAAAGGAAGTATACAGCCTATTCTAAAAACCGTTGTTTGCATGCACAAACTGCCCCAGGCTTTCCACTTGCTGAGCAGAAGGGTTAAGAGCCTGCCCTCTTCGGTGGAGCTGCCTGGAAGTTAAGCAATGAGAAACAGCTGCAGAGTCCAGCAATAAAAATGTGTTCTAAAAAATTAAATACATCATCCCAAAACAACTGAAAGAGAGCGTTATTGCTGTTGTGAGAGCTACTTTTCTCTTGTGCACTTGCTTCTCTACTGGACACTCAGACAAGCCAAGATACTCATTTGTATACTTGGAGAATCCCCCAACCCTTCCTTCTTTCCCGTTTTTCACATCCTTGGCCAAACCCAGCCCCCTTATTTGAGCCGTTCAGGTTGGAGGCTATCGGTCAGACACTTCAGCTGCTCTTCCCCCAGCTTGATCTTGTCCTCGAGCTCTCGCTGCTCGATGATGAGGGCCGACTTCATTTTTACAAAGTGCTCGTAGTCTGCTAAGTTCTCCTCGCTCAAGTAGTTTGCCAAAATGTCAAAGACAATGCGCTCCCGACGATCCAGGTTTTCCTTCAGTTCTTTTGCATCTTCGTGTTGCTGGGTCAGCAGCTTCTGCTTCTCTACCAATGTCCGCTTAGGAGAAAAGAAAAACAGTTAAACATTCACTGGGTTCACCGGGCTGGGCCAAGAGTGTCAGTCGGTTGCATCTGCAAAGATAAAGACTCCCGAACGCTCGAGGAGGTGGGATTGAGCCTCAAAGTGCAGTCTGAGAAAACGCACTGACAAACGGGAAAAAAAGGCAGTGAATCAATAAAAGATGCACCATTAACGCACTGTTGGCCTCAACAGCAAGAACCTCAAAGACTACTTCGCTATTTAATAGCTCCAAATAGTTACATAAAATACAGTTGCCTTTGAGAAACATCCAAGTTCTCCAAATTAAGACTTTACTCAGCAGTGACTTACATCTTCAACAGGCAGCACCTAATTTCCTCACTGAAAACAGCTGTGGTTAGAGGGCCCACCAACACTAATTAACGGAGCGATTTGTTCCTACACAGCTCCTGACGCTGCGGTATTTTGCAGCTGTGCTGCAGTCCGCACGGCTTCTCCACGACACACCAAGTCCCCTGCTCTGAACACACGAGCAAGAGCTGGGGCAAGACAACCAGAGGGGAAAAAGAGTTTTTAAAAAAGCAGCATCCTCCCCAAAGGGCTATAAACTTCATGCCCTCACAAGAGATGAATGAGATAAAAGGGGAGTTGAAGGACACAACCGCAGTCTGTTCCAACAAACGCGCCCGCTTTTGTTCATTTGGACTTTATGTTAAATCACATGTGCTACAGTAAGCCTACAGGATTTACAGAATAGTGTTTTTCTAGACTCCAAAACAGAGTACTTTCCAGATGGAAGGGTGGGAAGAGGGGGATACAGACCAACAATCCCTAATGACCTCTCTGTCTGGGTTGCACACGGATCCTGTGCTGCCGCTTTTTCTATAGACAGAGGGAGAAACGCTTCCAGAGGGAGAAACGCTTCCAGCCTTGCGTGTACTTCAACTACACAGCCCAGATTAACTCAGGATTCAAGACGGCTACAGAAGACAAGGGATCGCAGGGATCACACATTATTAGAAAAACCTCAGTTCAGCCTTCCTTGAGCGTCTGCCAGGGAAGAAAATCCCACTGCAACTATCTGCTGCAAAGAGATGGAAGTGCTGCTCTCCTAAACTCACCAGGGGAAGACGCAGCCAAGCCCAAACTCGGGAGCGTGGCTGGAGCGCTGCCCAGGGGGCAGCCTTGCAGCTGGCGTGCACACCACGAAGCAGCAGCAGCAGCAGCAGAATGTGATGAACACAAGAGGGCACATACCCACCAGGTGGTAGCTCAGCTGCAGAGTCACCCGCCTAACCTGGGGATGGATGGAATAGCTTGGTGATTCAAGCCATTTGGTGTCTCTGTCAACAGACACCAGAACAATCAAATGGGTAATCCTTCGCAACGATTCCCAAGATGTACACTGTACGGTTTCTCCTCACTGAGCCTATGGCATGGCTGTAAGATGAGCATGAGTAACCGGACAATTCAAGGACAGTAAGCGCTATTTTGTTATGCACTTCGCAGGGCACCTTAGCACCTCTGCCCCCGTGGAGGTTTAGGGAATACCCAAGAGAAGCGGGATGCAGAAAGGTAGAAGGCAGATGAGAAACCTCTTGAATTTGCTTTTACCTATCAAAGATGCCTGACACCAGGAAGCCTGTTTTGAAGGGTAAAGTGAAACACACTGTGGCAGGCTTGAGACACCGTTTGTGAGGAGATTTTTAGTAACGGGTAAATGGCTCACCAGGCCTAAAGGATTAAATGACCTCGGATGGTTTCATCTGGCCAAAGCCAAGCAGAGTGCCGAAAGGATTTTTGCAGTTCGCAGTGATCTGAAGCCCTGGCCAAACACAGGCCATCTGAAGCTCCTCTGATGGAACAGTCTCTGGCTCTTTCTGCTGAGAGTTTCTCAAGAATTGTTCGCCGTTTTGAACCACAGCTATATGAAGAGGGACTCCCTCCATGTATGTCACCTTCCAGCATCTAGTTCCTAAACTACTACTATCCCTAACACTTGTCCCTGGTCTTGTCATAACAGGTCTTGTGTGTCTAGGCACCTGATCACGTCTGTGGAGTGCTGGTTCGGCACTTCAGGGTTCTCAACACAGTCCGGCTTTGACTGACAAGGAAAGACACTCGTCCCACTGTGTGAAAGGCTGGTAGGTATTTCAGAGGAAGCCTTTTCCAGAAGCTAAAAGTGAAATACCTCGTAGTTCCTTGTGGTAAAACATATCTACGACAGAGCATTTCATAGTCAGAATATTAATTCAGCCGTGATTATTTGGCTGCTGACAGACGGTTTATTTAGAAAGTCTGCTGTGCCACTGGCGGTTCCTAGAAAGTGCAAAACTATCAGAGTCATGTCTATTAGACAACATCAGCTTCCAAAAAAAACCAAAACCCACCAACTTAAAATAATCAGTGACCACGAGGGATATGATCCCAAGGGATGGAAGTAATCTCCCCTGTTTTGTTTATATTGTACGTTAGTAGTACACTAAATATCATCATGTGACCTACAAAATACCAAAGGACGACTAAAAAAGCCACATCTGCCAGTCTAAATTCACAGGTAGGCACGTGTAGCCCTATACACACTGTATTTGTAGCCACAGTACCCAGGGAGTTGATCCACCGGGGAAGCATGTCTGACCAACACCTGAAGATATACTTCTGATGTTACTGTGGCAAGGCTTTGGTGTCAGTGCATGAGAAGATCAGTGGGGAATACGTTAGGGATTTGGATTTCTGTCAGCCTAAATTTGACAGCAGAGCACACAGACAATTTCTGACTGCCCTTTCTACACCCCCTACTCAACTTCTTCCTTTTCCACATCTAGCCAATAAGCCAGTTCTATCCCAGCTCTTAAATGGTGCTTCCTATATGCTCATTTCTTTCCTCAGCTCACACTCCCATTTTTGAGCCCATTAGACAACTGCAACCATATTTAGAAAAAAAGGAAGTCTAGAGACGGATTAAATTTCTTTAAGTTTCAGAAGCTTTGATCTGCCCTCTAATAAGCTGTCAAATACCATGCCTTTGCCTCAGTTGGACAGGGGTCTGGACAGCCATTAAACAAATACATTTGGCAGCAGCCATGGCCAAACAGCAAAAACACAGCTTCAGACTACTCCTGGCACTTACTGGTTCTTATTGGTGAAAGAACTGAGCATGCTGAATGAACACAACTTGAACCGACAGCCCGTGGTAAAAAAAAATCTGTTACATCACAGCGGTGGACGGCTGGCATTTCAGCCCACAGCTACGATTTAACCCCACTTCACATCCACTTAACTGCAGAAGCAAAACTCACTTGACACATACCTGCCCCCCACCCTCTCTATTTATTTGTTTCAGCCTTTAAAAGATGTCTACACCCTTCCCTTGGTGCGCACCTGTATCATTAGATACCTGCTTTCCAGCTAAGGCCTGATGGGATCTGGAGCTACACAAAGTGCTGCCAGCAGAGGTGGAGTCCAACAGGTGAGAGGACCTCAAAGGCTCCTGAAATTTTCACATCTGCTGGGATTCCTCCACATGACAACCTGGCTATTTTGGTTCGGTAAAACATGTTTTCTATTGAAAAACTCTTTTTGCAATGCCTCCCTCCTGCCCTCCCCCATCCTCCCCTTTTTTCTTTTAAATAAGACTTGTCCTTCTGTCATTTCTTGCCCTTGTTCCTTGCCAGGCACTGTGGAGGAAGCTGTCATAGATGAGAAACATTTTCTTTGTAACAAACTTACAGATTTTTATCAAGATCCTTTGTTGAGTATCAAGAAGTGTGCAAGCTTACTGTGTTGCAGCACAGAGTGAAATTCCTTTTCCCAGTAGCTCAACTCTTTCTTTAAACTTCCACTAAGAAGTTTGTTTTCCAGTGTGTTGCACCCCAAAACACCAGTTTTTCACTCCAAGCTACTTGTAGTTTTAGTATTCCAAGCAAAAGCAAAGTGAAAAGTTTTAAGAAATCAAAAGGAAATGGCCTTATGAGATTTATCCATTGACTATCCCTCATCTTAGAGCTCTGCAACATAGATAAACAAACCCAAGGAAAACCTCACACACCAGGGTCACTAAATGCAGCGACATTATTGTTGGCCTTTCTCACCCGTTCTTCCGGAGAGGTATTTTCATCCAGGTTGTTAAGGGCATTTTCCACCCGGGCCAGACGACCTGACAGTGACAGGAGGAGGTTGACCACTTTGTCAAGGTCGCCGATAAACATCTTGAATTTGTCGAACTCGTTTGGCTTGCAGACTTCTTTCACAATGGCCTCTACCTCCTCCCCCAGTATATTGTTTGCTTGGATGTCTTCCAGAAGTGTCTCCCGTGCTTCCCTCAGCACCTGCAGCTTCCTACTAATGCTGTCAATAAGTTCTTGCTGTAGAAGATAAAGGGAATGAGAATTTGTTAGTACCTGCTGCGTTTTTCCCCACTTCTGAAAGTCATGTCAGAAATCTGGCATTTTAATACACTGCAACTCCCACGCAGCTTTGATGCTGAGTGCGTTACAGATAAATGCATGTCTGTGTCTAAGGTCTGTACCTCTGGATTCAAAGGTGCACGATGCAGGTCCACAATGCTCAGCTTGAGACCTGTGCTAAACCAATTTACCTTGGCGTCAAAAGATGAAGGACTTCCCGCCACCCCATCCCACCCTCCCAGCTCCAGCAAGCATTCAAAATTTGAACAGCTTCAAAGCTGCTATGGAGCAGCATAAAGCACGGCACATCCTTTTGTCTCTGAATACCAGGTCCCTAATACCTTTCTGAAGAGCTACGCTTAGGAAGATAAACAGTAGTGGGAAACAATCCTGTGTTTTCCACACGACGCAGTTAAAACTAGGGCACCGCCTAGCTTTTTCCTCCTTTCTGCATAATATTAACATCCCTCCTATAGCACTCCTTCCCCTCCTGGAAAATCTTAGCGTTCACACTGCCTCACAATGTGTCTG